GAAAGCTTTGTCCAGAAGACTCGGTCATGTAGATCTTGTTGGGCTTCCCGGTCATGGCCAACAATGGTTCATGTCTTAACTGTTCGCCAAAAATGCTCCCTCCCCAACGTTTATGATATAACAGCCATCACATACGAGTCGTGTTTCCTCTCTACCGTCTAATAGCTTCCCGTGGCATGCGGCTCACCCCATCCTTCAACGCCCTTAGAGATTTATGTTGTTGCCTTTGGTCCACTTTCCTCCGGAGTCGACTACTCGAATTTTCGACCGGATTGAACTCGGGTGATCAAACTGGCCATGAGAGCTTCCTTTTACCACAATGCGCATGAAACTGTAGTCCCACAAAGGAACGATTTGCAGGCGTGTTGTCATCTTGAAAATAGCTTTAGTAATTGTGCCCAGCAGTGGTGAAATGTTTCAAATCAGGAACACTGATGATGCCCTCCTCCAACCGGGGCAGAAAGGTTATGGGCCTTCTTGATGGAACTCGTTCTCCTTCGAAGAAACCAGGAACGGCTTTGATGGAGACTGATTAGCGTGTCGACGTCAAATGATATGCATCTGCCCGAATAGTAAAATTGATTACTTTCTCTGTTATTATCCAATCGAACAATGCGTATTACAATTTTAAGATGAAAGTCGCATGTCAAGGCGGTGGTGGCCCGGTGGTAACGTCACCAAATTATCACCCTGTGGATGTGAGTTCGAATCCCACCACCACTGCCTGATTTTCCCCATTGTGTGTTGAATGGCAGCCCTTTGATTGACCGCTTCCCCCTTCCTGAAAATTGTATCTCTGTATATTCAATAAAAGGAAGTAAAAACGAAGAAAAAAGGTCGAATGTGGATATAATGTCAATCGAACCATCCATAGAGGTCTGTGGTTTAATCGAGTGTTCACTCACAGAGGTTCATCTGGTCAAGGACCTAGCCTGGCTTGAATGATCGAGTGGTGCAACAGCTATCGTGATTAATGCGTTGATACATATACACATATTGTATTATATTATACATTACGTTTATGGTAACATTTAACTAACCTTTTTTCATAATTATTTATTACAGTACATAATAGGTGAATCACGACTGCAACTGAGAGAAGCGTAAACTGTCGCAATGAAGGTAATTTTAACAAAACGTGTCTTGCATCGATTCCCAACCACACAAATCAGAAACTGTTTACAACCAGTACTGGACGAGGAAGAAACAATAATTATGTGTTCAGATTGCAAAACTCCAAATCCAATTTTATCGCCGTGTTTGGGTAAGCTTTCCCCCTCCTTTTTGTTCTGACACCATGCGCACATCAGATCCGATCAAACGATCAGTGTATTCGATCGCCACGGAGAGAAGAAAATCGAAGTACCCTTACCTGGGTAATTTCAGGATTTTACAGTTCATCCTGATTTTCGTTTAGCGAAGCCGTGGAAATGGTCTGGGATTGTGATGGAGATTATTTGGCCATTTTGGATGATAAAACATCTTCTGTGACGTTATGGGATGCACTGACATTTAAAATAAGTCAATTGAATACGGGCATAAAGTGATCATTTCTCTTTCCCTATGGATTAACGTCTCGTTTTTAAAACACGTGTAGAGATCATTTAAGTGCACTGGCTTGGTCCACTGTCGGAAGTCGTTTGGCAATCGGTTCTGAGAAAGGAAATCTTGTCATCTACAATCACAAAACTACAAAGTAGGTCATTGTGCAGACGGGGGGTGGCAGAAAAGTAATCGCTTGATTACTCACCAATTCACTGTCTCTTTTCTAGGAAAGTTTCACTTTTAGGCAAACACATGCGTAGAATTGCTTGTGCCGTATGGAATCGAGCGAATGTGTTAGCGCTGGCCGGTGATGACAAAGTGATAAGTGTGAACTCAGCTGATGGGGATTTGATCAAACAGTGCACAGTGAGGGATTTCCCATCGCAGCTGCAATTTGCCGACTTGAAGAGAGATGATGGATTGAGACGGGCGGAAAACAATGTAAGTGCTTGTGTGTCCTCATTTTCGGTTAATAGACTAATCTAATTTTCCATTGGTTTTCCATTATTCTGTAAAATAAACCTAAAAAAACCAATCATTTTATTTATAGATGTTGTATAATGGCTGATAAAAAACACTGGACTGTTGTTTCGTGGTTGCCGGGGGTCGGCGGTAGTGTGTATGTTTTGTTTCCCTGTGGTCCCTTAATCCGTCAACATTGAAAATTGCAGAAAAAAAGCGCGCATCTCCGAGATACTTTTGAGATTCCTCTTCCATTTTAACCTGTTCGTAGAACTTGGCAATCGTTTGACAATGTTGCATCACTAGGTGAGGTGACATTTGCAGTGCTTTTAGCTTGGCTATCTATCTCGATACGAAAATGTTAGAACAGGTAGATGACACTTGGACCACAGGGGGTAGTTTGTTATCCGACCCGTATTTACATGACGGAAAATACGCGAGTATTTATACTGCAGGTTTTAAGAATCAGTGCTCTCACTTGTGATGGTCACTCCGGTAGCAACAGGAAACAATATGGTGACCCAATCGAAGTGGGCAAGAACCCAAAGGCAAATGAAGATAGCCTTGAGGATTCAGTAAATGACAAGGCGCCCTCGCATGCGACACGTACGCAGCACATACAACACGCAAGAAAGATGTAGTCCCATTGATACAGTGACCGGTTGTTCCTAAACTGATACACTTCGAGCACCTCCCTTTTAGGTTCATCAGTACCGTCTCTGAACTGGGTCGATCTCTAACCGCTTCGCCGGATTTCGCTGCCGATGGTTTCGACAGATCGTATATTAATGATGGTGCTGTTGAGACAACGGTAACCGGCTGTTCCGAGTGTGGGGCTCGCTTATTTCAGAGAGCTTTGGCTTTTGTTGACGGAAGAATGAATCTGTCAAGTATAATTTTCAGTAATAATGAACCAACTCATTCCGCCTGCGGTTGCACTGTCCATGTCTATCCAATGGAGTTGGTTACAGTGTTAGATGCATACTTCGTCACAGGCATGCATATTGAATAACACGATACCTTGGTGGGCTGCGTCGGCCGTTTCAATCTAATCTGGGGGACGGGATGTTATGCGTAGATATTTGTCTCGATGGAACTACGCTCCTGGTACCAGGTTAAGCTGCTCGCTGTGCGATTGGGATGAGTGCATGGAAATTAGTCCGCGATATTTGGCAAATCAACGCTTCGGTGAGAGATGGTCTATTGGGGCATGCTGAACTGAGAGTTGTTCTCTATGAAAGCAGAGATAACTGAATTATCTCGCTTTCGATTTCCTCCACCTCGAAGAGCTCTCTTTGATGCTGGATTGGCGATGGTAAGGTGGAGATCGTAGTTGCCAAATACTGTGTACACGACGAAATGCCTCGAAAAGTGTGAAAGTAAGTTTCAGCTTCGGTTTTTAGAACTGTGAACTATTCTCCAAAAAAGAGTTTCCGGGACTCCACGTGTTCCGAATATGCGTTAGTGACTCAGGTAGTTGCTGAAAATAGCCCAGTGATTTTAGTCCACTTTAAATGGTTATCGACTTCGACAAAATAAAGAAAATCATTAATTGGACAGGTCAAATAAAGACGCACACGCGGTCACGGTTGTTCTGGTGTTGGCCAGGATATCGACGGTTAGCCAAGCTGCTTACCAATATCGGTAACAGTATTGAACTAGATTCTTCTTGTTGTCGTTTATCCGTAGCTGCGCGCAATGGCTTTCATTCTGTTTATGTTAGGACGTTTATTATGAACTTAGCGGAGCACAGCAGGCCAGGAGAACACACGAAGCACAGTGCGGTTCGTTCGTATGAGGCAAAAATCAACTGCTGATAGCGATTTACAACGAAGGAACGGCTGACAAAGCTCATCAGTAAGTATTGGGTTGTTGCATAAGTTCCCGCCGTTTTTTAAACATTTATTTTCCAAGAAATCAAAGAATTTTAACAACCAAAATAATGACTCAGTCGATCATATATTAACTGAAATTATAACATTTTACGGGAAAAATGAAAACACTTCAGCTGTGCACTCCTCATCATTGTTCACTACTTCTTCCCATCTTTCCACCAGTTTTTTTATTCCATTTCGCCAGAAATCCTTAGGTCTAGTCTCGAAGAAGTTGTTCAGCCAATTCTCAAGTTGATCCTGATTTTCGAAGCTAAGACCCTTCATTTCATTTGAAGGGCAGTGGAAGAGATGGTGATCCGTCGGGGCGAGGTCTGGAGAATAGGGAGGATGTTGAAGGATCTCACAATCGAGCGCTTGGAGTGCCATCTTGACAGTTTGCCTGTAGCCATGGGTCCCTTGGTGTCGAGCTAGATTTTGAACAGCAGTGGAAAGCCGCTTATCCTTCTGCTTTTGGGTGAGTTGGTGCGGGACCCAAGCTCCGAGCTTTCGAGTGAGACCCATCAACCGAAGGTGGCGTGAAATTGTCGCAAAATCACAAATCATCTTTTCGCCCAATTCTCTGCATGTCTGGTGGCCATCTACCTTCAAAACATCCCTGAGCTGGTCCTCGTCCATTTCGATTGGTCTTCCGGAACGAGGAGCATCGTTGAGGTCAAAATTATCGTGCTCAAACCTGGCAAACCAATCCCGAGCAGTTCTGTCAGCTATAGCGTCCTCTCCATACACGCCACAAATAGCTCTGGTAGCTTCACTCGCTTTTTGACCTCGATTAAAGATGAAAAGAAAGTGTCGAAAGTGCGATTTTTTGTCGACTTGACAATCCATTTGACGGTGCTAAAAAAGACAAAAAATAATATAGGTAAAAACAATTACTTTAATCTTGTAGAGCATAGCACGGGCTTTCTAGTGATATATAACACTTCGCCAAACATCACAAGTCTTTGTAGAACAAATAGTTTCATGTAACGGCGGGAACTTAGGCAACAACCTAATAAATGGTTGTGACTGGTCCACTTGTGCGGCCACAAGTGATGGTTTGTTGGAGAACAGTATTCCAACCAGTAGCAAGTTAACAACAACAACAGCCATTGGCATGTCGCGCGTAGTGTCTGAAAGTTGACAGCCACACCAACTTCCATCAAAACGGTGACTATCACAACGCACAACTGCATCTGATGCACCAAAGCGTATCAGCCTGACCAAAATCAGTGGTGCGGCCCTAAAGAATGTCGAAATCATATCGAGCAAGAATCGTTAAACGTCGTTAAAGTCGATTGGTAGAAAATACAGCAAGGATTTTCTTCGAACGAAAATTTGGCTGCAATGGCTCAAGGTCAGTTTGTGGAGCGAAATGTCAACCATCCAGCATTTTATGAAACTTTCAGATCGGCAAAGTGATTGCTACTATTTCCTTCTCATTTTGAACATGGCCGTTTTGAACCGCAGTCGGTGCGCGGGAAACATGCTCGATAAAGCGACCCGGAAACTCATTTTAAATGGTTGTACCCACATGATGGCAATATCGTTGACCAGCTTTGGATTGTACAACCCGTACCAAACTTCGCCCATTCAATCAACCGGCTGGAATCGATCTGTACTCGATGGTTTGGCGGAAAGACCGAGGTAGATGGAGCGAATCTTGATCACATCACGATTGTGCATCAACGGACACTACAGGGCTCATACTATCGGCTTCTCAACCCACAAAGTTCACTCATCTCAGAGAAAATGTGCTCGGTAATCAGCGTATCATTTTGCTCTTGCATCAGCCTTTTTTTCTCATGGCAACTGGAATTCAAAACGGACCGGACGACTTGACATTAGGCTGTACCAACCATGTGGACAGCCTTCTCCCTACTCCGATGTGTGTGGAGCTGATGCCAGGCCCTTAAACCCCGATGCAACATTGACCTCGTTCCGCTAATCTCCCAAGTCTAAATGATGTCCTGCCACCGAAGTCACCTAATTTTACATAGTGTCCTTTTTAGGTTTTGGTTGCCATGACAACCCACCGGATGCTGTAGCAGTGACAGTTGGCAGAATTGAATCCTAGGCCCATGCACTTTGAAGGGGACGGTCACCTGGGTGAACTTATTCGGTCGGTGACCGCACTCATCAGTCACTGCAGGACTAAGTTTTGTACCAGTTGATGCATATGCGCCTGCACTTTCGCGAGGCGATCGTGATTTTCTTGGGCAAAGGCCTCACAGGCAGTAGACCAGCCTTCGGGGACGTCTGTTTCTAGGACGTGGTTGAGACGGTCACGACCTTCGGATAGGGGATGGAGATCCTCACTATAGCAACTGATCTCACCGAAAATTTACCGAGTTCGTGATATGTCTACGGGCTCTAGCACCTATTCTAATGAGTCAAATATTGCATGGAGTGAGATGGTGGCCATTTGTGTAAGAAATTAAGCCGAGGTATTTTATCCGCTGGCTAAAGCATTGAGACTTCTCAACTCTCAATTTCGTACTCAAGAACACTTTTGCAGACTAATGGCACCCGTTCTAAGAGCTCACTAAGCATTCATTCGCTCCGCGATTGTAGTATCATCGAAGTATACAACTGTACCCGGAATACCGAAAATCTTAACGTCCATAGTATGTAAGACTAAAGGTCTGGTTATGATAAAATTGACCACAATGAGTATATATTGTCAACAATTTACTCGACCCATGGATCAATAAATCCTGCAGATTATTACCAACCAAGCTTGAACAGGAATTAAGCATACACTTTTGTGCGGCGGTTTTGGTTGCTGTCTTTTGGCTTCCCAGGCAGATCCAGCTTGAAGAAACAAGTACCATTATTCAACAGACAGCGAAGATCAATGGGAGATCGGTGGAAGACAGCAGTTTGACCTGCGTGTTATTGTTACCGGTGAAGAAGTCAGTACAAATTCGGACGGATCCGTCCGGTCTCTTGACCGTAATTATTGGAACAGACGAGAAGGAGAAGCTTCGATTCGGTATCCTCTGGTGTCAATTCTGTAAATACAACTGGGGGTGAAAAAGTGAACTGTTGGTAGTAGAAAATTACTGTAGAGTGCACAGATCAAGGTATTTTTGAAAACAACACAAATTGCCATACCGGCTTTAGGGTCTGTAGGTATAGCAGAAACCTGAACCTAACTGCAAACAATGGGGAACGGAATGAGCATCTGGGCAGGTTATTCGACCCAGTCCATCCCAAAATTATTCTGATTGGACTTGGTAACTTTCGAAATGCCACCTATTCTGTAGCCTTGAAAAGTCACCGCATTGCAATTTCCTAGTTAAGTTAGCGGTACCGCCGCATATCCTGGTGACAGACCGGGGAGCCAGCTGAATCACAAGGAACGCCACAGTGTCTAAGAAATTATAGTAATGTCCGAGGCAGGGCTCAACTTCAGGCGGACAGACTGACAGCAGATTAGCACCTTAACACATTTCTATAATTAGCAACTATGAGATGGAAACTGGCCGGTAAACTCAGAGAGTTAACAACCCACTAAAGTTTTCGCTTGGGTTTTGATCGGAAGCCTTGTCTAGGAATGACCGGGAATCTTCTCAAATTTAGTAGAAGGTGAATGACAGGACTCCTAGTGATGTTTCAGTTGATGTCAGCAATGCCGATGAAAATGCCACGCGCCATACTGGTGACCGGGAAAGAGACGGTGGTCGTTTATCCTAGAGATACTGGTTACCAAATTGATTTGGCTGTCGTGAATGCACGTATTGAGCTGTATATGCCAGTGTTCTGGATTATTGCAGTCATGCTTCAACTTGATTGAAGCAGACACCGAGTGGAAAAAAGCCAAGGGTGGTCAAGCTAAGACCCAGCACGAGGGTATGAAAACCCTAACCAGGAGACTGGGTCACATAGGTCCTGTTAGGCTCCCTGGATGGAGACCTCGGGATGGTCGTACCCGATGGTTAGAGACACTGATTGATATGAATGGGTGTCGTAAACAGTGGCGTTCGTGTATCTCCTCAATTTCTTTACAACCTTAGACCACTGAACGTTTCCATTTTCTGTTCAACTCCACTTTCAACTTTCCTTTCTTCTCCTATTCTTCATCCAAATGGTTAACCAAAAGACGGCAACCAAAACCGGCGCATGAATATGCGTGGTTAATGTTTGTACAAAGTGAAACTGAAACTTGATTGAAAATCCAGTGCCAGTTCTTTAATATTACCCGTACTACTCTGCTATATCTTCATTAGATGTGTTCTGATCTCAGTTGACTGTTGATCGTAGATGAAGATGATCTTCCAAGAATAAACCGAGCTGAAATCTTTGACAATCCCGATTTAGAATGCCCGCTTGCGTGGAAAGGCCGTTGGACTCCCGCTTAGTCAGTTGAATCCAATGAAATCGTATATTGACTGGGGAAGTATTGTTAACAGTTTTAAAAAATGCAGCTGAAACTGACTGAGGAATCTTGACCACCGGAAAGCCGAGGAAGAGTCTGAGTTGTTTCCGCAAGTGATTTCCCTGCAGTCTTCAGGTAGAATGCAATTGACGTATCCTTTATTTTCTGTTGCATCGTGTTTACGCAAATATAGTCGAATATAATTTTTCTGTTTGGTTGACGAATTCAACAAAGAGTAAATTGTCAAAGCGCTTGTATCAGGAATTCAAGTCGGTCAAACAAGAAATATTGTGATGTTGCTAAAAATATGGCCCACTGATTGTGAGCAAGGTTCTAATTCAGTTTGATTCATAGATGAACAGGACTGCTTGATTTTTATTGCCTCCGTCAATTCCAAATGCCTATCTGCTCCCTACTGGTGTATACGTCAATCATTGTTTTTGAAACTGTCCTCACTTTTCTAAGTTTCTCTGCATCGCCTGATTCTCACGAATCATACAACTGAAGAATCAGTATTCAGCAATCGTTTGGTTTTCATAATGGCTCTCATGTTTAACTCCGGCTAGTTGGCAGTTTGCATTTCTCCACATGTGAGATGTCGCATATTTCCCACAGTGGATAGGCCTCAAGTTTCATGGTTGATTGAAAAATTGCACTTCATTCGTAGTCATTCATCCCCTCAATTGAATGCAGCTTGATTATGATTCGGTTATTTTACTGACAATATTTTCGCTTTCTGTGCCAGAAGTCGGAATTCAAACCATATCGACGATAGAATTCATTCTTGGTGCTCCGTGAATGCTTTGCCGACCGAATGAACTGATGTTTTTGCTTGTCGATGGAACTTGACAATCAATAAAAAGATTGAAATTGTGACCCTAATATTCGACTTTCAAATACAGATGAAGCATCGCCTCTCATCTTCAATTAAATTTTTTTCTTCAATATTCTCAAATAGAATATCCTATTATGTTCTCATCGGAACTCCTTCACTAGGTAATATAAAGTCACATGCCTATTTTATTGTATTTTCGCATCATTTTTACCCGTCCGTTCCGCCAATTCTGCACATACTAGATCAGTTGCGTGATAGGACAGAGAAATCTCTTCATTTTGAATCTGGACGACATGGAAAATCCCATCGAGTTAGAGTTTCAAAAACGCTATGGTGAAGTAATGGCTTATCGATGGTTTGGCGATGGATACATCATGATTGGCTTCTCAGCCGGCTATTTAATCGTTATATCAACAGAGAAAAGCGAATTGGGGAAAGTAAGTCTGTGTTTGCAAAAAAACTCTTCATTCTAATGCGCTTTTCTCATCAGGAGATTTATCAGGTTAGAGATCATAAGGACGGATTGTACGATCTGGCCGTGTCTGGCACCTTAAGCCGTTGTGCCACAGCCGGCGATCACAGGTGAGAATGCATTCAGGTTGTAATTCATTGACGCTCACTTTTTTCAATAGTATACTTGTATCATTCATGTGTTCCAGACATTTTTATTTCCCATTCTGTGCACGGTAACACCTGTTTTTGCGGTTCTTTAAACAATTTCTCATTGAATAGCGCACACTACGCAAGTCTAATTGGACTTTGCAAGATATAACGACTTTATTTGGGTAAAACAAAATAAATATTGGTTAGGACTAGAGTTGTCATGATGTTCATAGCATAATTCTATTCATCTTTTTTCCGTATGGACACGCGTGCAGCAATGACCGCGTTTTCATGAATGAAACACTTACTTTAATGCTTTCACTACTAATATGTTTGCAAGTAAGCAAAAGAAAACGCTTTCAAATCTGTGTGAAACACAACGTATCAACATTCGCTTCACCGATCCCGTTTGCGGTCCTCCAAATTGTGGAATTACGTTGGATAAGTAATCCTTGAAATAAATGAAATACATGTACATAAGCATACAAGATCGTCGTATGAATGATGTGGTGTTTATCTTGAAAACATTTTTTCATTATTTGAAACGGCATTCACCATATAAATAGAAAGTGTTAGTGATGGTGTTTGCTCCATAAATTTTCCACTGGACAATAAAATGTTCTACAAGCGCCGTGATAGATGATTTTGAAAGAGATAGTAGATTTTTCTGTATTTTCGTTGCTAGAACCGAATACATCCTGTTAATTCATTTAGCCCGTACAAGTGGTACCACTGTGAGTTGAAAAATATATTGCTCCACCTCCTTTTGGACCAATGTTTCTCCAATTTAACTTTTCAAACGAAACGTCCGCTAAGGGTACAAACTTATTGTTGGTTAGGTCTCTCGGCGAGATTGCTGCTCCTGTAAATGTGATCTGTTTTATAATTTCCTAGTGTCACGAATCGACAAATGTGCATTGCGCCTGGTTTCTCTGTTGTTGTATTTTGCTTGCCAGTTTGGCTGTGTATATCCTTTCCCATAGAGGCACTTATGAAGGTTAGGCGATCATCCCTTCCAGGATCTCCAATCTTTGTTTGGGTTTATTAGCCACATCGGAAGCTGAACATTGCGGCATTCAGAATAACTGTAGGATGGAAAAATGCATTATTGTTCTCAAAGTGTTTCCCTTCGTTTTTCTCGTTTGTACTCATTGCCCTCTAAATTCATTTTTATTTATGTTGCAAAACCACCGTGCTTGTTTTCAAGGTACTGTTGAGTCATTCATACTGCAAAAGCATTCTTATATGCATATAAGTCATGTTTTTTACGGTCAGTAGCATCTCACCCATCTACACAACATCGAACCATTTTGGGACTGGTTCTAAATGGGCTGTGCAAATATATTTGCCGCTGTTGCAAATCAGGTATTGGTGATGATTATATATATAAATATAATATAATGATATATGTGGGACGTTTGCGACGAAAATGTGTGTGCAAACACAACTGGAAGCGAATAAATGACCTTTTCTATTTTGCTTTTCCCTATTTTGAAAGCCCTACACTGCCAACAAAACCTTACTACTTTACTCAGAACGTTTGGGGGCATTGCACGCAAACGAGGGAACACGAAAAGATCAATCTCAAATGAATAACATTATTGTTTCTTGTGTGTGTTTCAGCGTACACTGAGAAAATTATAACAACCCAATCCTGTATCAGCCTTTAGTAACTTCAGAATGCAAACCATATTCCGAAATATCTTCAGTGATATTCCGCCTATCAGAAAATAACTTGCTATTTACCCGAGTCGTTACCACATGACTGTTTTATAAGGAATTCCCGTATTGATCAATCGTGAGAGATCGCTTTCGCAAACAAGCTCGTTCAGAATGCTTGAACCGAGAACACGTTTCAGCCAAACACATGGGTAGGGACTGGACACATAAAAACACTTGATGACACTGGATTATGTTGATGTAAAGCGATCATTGATTGACACGATTGACTGCTAGAAGAAAAAATCACCTGAGTGAACAAAATTTGCTACTCTGATCACTTCACTCATCGGATGAAATGAGTCCTCTAGTGGTTCATATCTAAATACAAATTGCCAGCTGTCAATCAGGTTTTATCATCTGAAATTGATAATTAACAGTTAGACTCAGTCAGTCGAAACAGGAGAGTGGTGACTTTGAGAGGTGATTGTCCTTGTTTAATTAACCATCCTCGTGTTGTACTGCCCTTTTGTTACTTGTTGGATATTGTCTTTTCAGTGTCAAAGTCCACGATCTACTCAATGTGCGTGAGTTGACAGCAATTATTGAACTGGAAGAAAACGCGGAGGAGGATGGGGATCGAGGTGTGGATGCACGAACTGTCAGTCTCCATCCACTCAAGAATGCTTGTCAATTGCAATGGTCAGATGACGGCCAGTTGATGGCTGTGGCTACCCCAAGACAACTGCTTCATGTCTTTCTCAGTCAGTTACCGATGCTGGCTTCGGTGACACATTCCAAAGTGACATGCCTTAGCGCGCGTCTCAGTTCGTTATTAGAAGTTACACTGGAACCGTTGCCCTTCAGTCAGGTATACAAACTTCACGTCGATCACATTTGGAGATCAGTTCAATTTTCGTACAATTGAATGTGTTGTTTGTTCTTGTTATCGAGATTACCGAGTGAAAAATAAACCTCATGCGAACAAACACGCATGATGGATTAAAAATGTTGATGAATCAAGAAAAAACTGGTATCTCTTTTGGCAAGCATCAAGCTCACTTCGTCACGGATGTTCGATGACAGTTTTCGTACATGAACAGTCTGTTAGCTCGCTTATTGTTGTCATGAATTGTGCTATTTCTTTCATATATCGAACGGAATCATTTGCTCGTCCATTGGTAAAATGTCAGATTACTGTCGATATTTACCAATCATCCTCATCAGTGACTAAACTACCTGTGAAATTTTATTGATTGGATGATAAACTTCATCGTGTACAAAGCGATAAATGAAAAACTAGCGACCACTGTACAACTCTTTCAACCTGGTTGGATCTCATCAGCGGTGCGAAATCATCGCCTTGAGCGGGCATCTAATTCGGGTCCTCAGAGGCCGAACGCAAGCGTACTACTCACTTGGCCCCCGAACAGCTGATCGGACCGTCTTTTTCATTCTTCCTACACGTGATGTAGCACAACCCATCTTTGCGAACTTGCTGCGGACATCGCATATCGCTCCTCTCAGCACTCACCTCCAGCGTTTTCTCGGTTGGAAACATTCCGAACTTGAGTACTTCTTTCACGGGGTCTTTGATGGTGTTACGAAAATTAGTATACTTGTTGGTAATCCGGAAGTGCGGTTGTTCTTTCTCGAGAGATACATATAAACATTGCCGAGATTGATATCTGTGATGTTCGCAATCCAAATCTAACGAGATAACTTAACACGCATACTCGTTATGCTACAACACAACTTATGCGAGGCTTTTGATTGTCTCTTCATTGTTTGTAGTTCCTTTCCTTTTTCATTTTACTTCCTTTTATTGAATATATAAAGACAATTTTCAGGAAGGAGGAAGTGGCCAATCAAAGGGCTAGCATTCAACACAGTGGGGAAAGTGACGTGGTGGTTGTGGGATTCGAACACACATCCTCGGGGTGATAACTTGGTGACCAGAACAGAATTCAAATCACATTGGTCATTCTTATTCGAAGAGAATATTAGACAGCTGAATTCACCAGCCTTGGCAATTTGAGCCCCATGTTTCCCCTAAACCATAATATTTTGAACATTTGCCAAGTTTTCTTTCCATTTTCACATTTCGCCACAAACTGAATGCTTTCAGACTAATCGTTTCAGCATGCACCACTATTAACTAGACACTTCTGTTCGGCAGTTTTTCTGGTTTTATTTTGGCAGTTCATTCGGATGAAGTTATGGACAGTATCAAGATAGAGACGGGGAAGTCAGATAGGCTAACAACAGCATCACAATGCCTGTGGGTACAAATTCCTGACAGTGGAGTGTGAGATTATGGGATACTCATTAGAATCCACTTTAGTGCGTGATTTCGGACAGTCCTTGTAAAATCAGCACAAGGAAGTCACCCCATCCCAGTGTCTGAAACTGCTTTTGCCTATTCGACAAATCAAACTGCCCTCCAGCGGGAATCATCTCGTCAACTTTTAGCTGACCACAAAAATCGCATCAAACTCACCGCTGTTTGATCGATATCATTTTTCTCAATGACACTACTAACTACTCAATATCTAATGTGCGAAAATGAGATACCCAGATAGTGTTAACCCAGTAAGCAGATTTGGGACGTTTGGATCAATATTCGCCCTCTAATTGTTTTCTCTCTTCATGTGCGCAGTTTGCCGAGCGGTAAGCCGTGGAAAAGGCAAGGCTGATAAAACGAAGACCTAGCAAAGTCTAAACAGGAAACTCGGTTAAATAGGTCTTGTTAGACTTCCTGGATGGGGACCTCGCAATCAACCGAACCGAGGGTTAGAGTGATATGGCTGAGTGTCGTCATCAGTGGTGCTCGTGCACTTTCTCAATCTCTCTGCAAATGTAACCTGCCGAAATTCTATTTCTTTCACTTTCACATTGCTTCCGACATCCTACTCCTCTATCCAAATGGGCTGACGAAAGATCGCAAACAGAATGGTCGAATCGATGTGTGGATCCTGTTTGAATACTACTTCTGTGGTATACTGTTGTTTTTTCATGTTGCCGGCAACGCCTTGTTCACGTTCTAGGAAATATCACGACGAAACGAAGGTTGACTGCACAACGCAGTGATAAGAGATATATATTGACTGTGCATTGTGGATGATTCCCCAGTCGATGATGATTCGGTCTTTTGGTGGCAAATTAAAAACCTACAAATTTATCTACTGATTAGTTATGCCCCAATTGTTTTCAGGGAGCACATAATGTTTCCATAACTAATGCAGTTCGCGTCTATTGTCAACTGTTTCTTAAACGAAAATTCTTTTCGGTTGTATGACTTCTTCCTGAAAAATAGCTCCCGGTTCAACCGGACTACTACAAAACGCCACGTGTTCTGATGGCTGAAACGGAACCAACTTTCATTGGACTGGGACCGAGATACCTCGCAATGGGTATGAACAATCATGCTTGGTTCTACGAACTCAAAGATACAGGTCAGGTCAATGACGCTTGTTTTCTTTTGTCATCTCTGTCTGTCTGTCTCCTGTAATCTTACATATTATTTTTTCGAGTCCTGGCTCTGCGTGATCTCGAAGAAACATAACATGGTTTTGTAGACTGCACAGTTTGACTGTATTGAAATTGGTTTAGGTTCTACTTCATCCTCTTGATATTCTGCAGAACCATTGATAGTTGGTGTGCCTCCGCAGTGGTCAGAGTGTACAATGGTACCCAACAGACCATTTGGAAGGCGGATTCACGTGGTGCCTTGTGTCTGCTGGACTTTTTATCAAACGCCTTTTCCACCGTTCGGCATTAGTCCTTGCTCTAATTAGCCAAAATGCCTACTGTTAGCCAATGGCGCCAACTACTGTTTTCTATTTCAATTATAGTATCGTGCAACTTCATCAAATGTCTAAGAGGCCTAATGAAGTTTTAATTCAGACTATAGTGGTGAACTGATAGACTTCTCCGTGCATATTTTGATCTTTCTAGACACGTTTATTTTGGGATGAAATCATGGTCCGTTGGTTTTACACCTGTCTTAATTTCCTTGCATGTTGCACACTGCTCCATCGGGAACCTACCGCGTTCATTGATCTGTGCCACTAGAAGTTGACTATCCACGTCATTTCGGCAGCAACACGTTTCAACTGTGCAAACAAAAGACCCACTAAGCATTTGACTATATTTACCTCGTATTTGAGTACCGCGCAATGAATTACAAAGATGATGAGACTGAGGTGTATATATATATATATAATTGTGAAATATCATAATGCAATATGCACTAAAATATGTTATCTACAGTTTAAGCATTGCCTATATTTTTAAGTGAAATGGTCAAAATAAGCGCAAATCCGCTTGCATGCCAATTTCCGGTACTCTCAAACATTACTCTGCACTCGTATTGATCTGATATTTCATTTGCTAGGTATGGAACGTGTATCGGAAGTCGAGTATCTGGACGTGGTGAATCGTATCTCTGTCGGTGATCAGTATGCAGCCAGTTGTGGTCCAACAGGAAAACTCACATTGCATTGGGTATGCTTTAATTTCAGTCCTAATCAATCCAAAGAGCCAACTTTATATTATTTCAAAAAGGCCTTGAGCGATTTAGCGCGGTTGAATATGATACATTTGGTCATGTAAATCAGTGCCGATCAAAGTCAACCAGCTCGAGCCAGTTGTATGGAACTCTGGAACCTTTCATTTCACGTTTTATTCCCTCCGAGCACAGAGAAATGCATCATGATCCGTGTATCATTTCTCATAATGTGGTAACTCGTGTCCACTTCCACACTTCTCGAATCCGTCTGAACCACGCACGACTCCAATAGAATAAGCATAATTGCGTGCCGGACAACGGCAAATCCACTTACCATAGGATGACAACTCGTCTGATCTGGAGTGAGCGAACAATATTGTACAACAGAATGGAAACTTGGCTGTTTCACATTTCGTGTATATATTGGGTACTATATTGTGGTTATGTTTTGTGTATGCTACTAAACAAGGAAGTTGCACTTATTCCCAGATTCACTGGAACACATGAAGTAATAGTAATAGTTGTGTTACTCGAGAAACCACATCTCTCGAGGTGAACCGATTTCTAGAAGTTCATAGCTTGTTACATGTCATTAAGACCGAAGCGATCAACACATCCGTTGATAATTCATTTATAAACAAGCTAAAATATCCAGTATCTCGCTGTGTCATTCGTATGTTTGTGAAAGCACTTGTCCAAACAGTCCTGCCACGTAGAACAGAAGTGTTCGTTAGGTGTAGGACAGATGAAGACTACCACCATTTGACTGCTGTCTAAGGATCACCACTTGCCCATTATAAGCGTGGTCGAGGTTAGAGCTTAAAGTATTGGGTGATTACGGCAATGCACAGGATCACGCGCTCCGACGAATGTTAAGCACATCTCCCAGTGATTCTCTTCAGCAAATGATCGTCGAAAAATAATACCTGATGAGACTGTGACTTGTTACACACAATGAAAACCAAAGAAAGTGAACTTGTGTTTGGCTCCATGACTAAAGTTCTCGAGATTTGCCCTATCTGGAAGTATTATCATATTTAGCCTCCGAAACCCTGGTAGACCAAGCGGGTAATCGAAAGTGATCCACCAAAATCGACGCACATAAATGCAGGCTAGTAGTTGTATGCAAGCGGTATAGTGAAACTGTACCGCTTGATTAAATCATAATTATTACTGTGGGCAACGAAACTTACATAATTTTTAAAGCGGTTGTGGAAGCTTGGACGAATAAGTACTTGAGAATCAATCCTGAATTCCGACATACCTGATTGAACACGTAATACGTTACTTTTGATCAAACAAACCGAGTGGCGGTTTCATTCTGAATTATTTGTTTGGTCGATACCGTTTGCTGAAGAGCAATTGACAATCCGGCTTTTTTGCCTGAACGTAAGTTCTTGATTCTCCGATCTTTATGTAAATGTTACAGTAAAATTTGTGGATACGTTCTTGCTTGTACGGTACTCGAAAGAAACGAAAAACTGCGTTCATGCATCGTTCTTCATTTTAATTCTTTTCATGTGTAGCGCGCTACCGTGTGCACCATGTACTACTATACCAGCTTTGAGATGCTTAGCAGAAACCCTTTTAGTACTGAAATTTTCCTATAGTGATGTAAATGAAGACCAAGCTAAATTGTAGAGAGAGAACGCGGTCGTGTGTATGTATGACTCTTCAGTAAATGACAGATTCATACAACCCCTTGAAATGCAGTTTTGGTTCTGACACACCGGTAACACCGATCTATCCCTTTTCCACCCGGATCCCTCAACATCCATCCCAGATTGATCCGAAAACATTTCCAATCAAAGACACCACAACCGCCAATGCACGAAAGGACCTGGATTCCGGTGAATCGATAACTAACCCTGGTCTGGGGACAAAAGAACGCCGCATGTTTCCTGAACCGAATCAAACAAACTGCAAAGTGACCGGATTTCACGTCACCTCACAATTTATCATATACGCAACAAATGTGAGTAGCTTCATGTAAAATATGACTAATTTATTTTTAGAATCCAGACCGAGATTTGATTTCGTCTGCTTTTGATGCAAGAGCAACTAGGACGAACCGGTTGATAAAGAGAAAAATAAGCATGTCGGCATTTTCATGGTTGTGATTGGTTATCACTCAGTCAGGCGCTATCGTTCCATTCGCAATAATTTTAGAAAGCATTAGTTTTTCTATTCTGATTCGATGCCATTCTGAATCTCTGTGGTTTCTCTTACACACATTTTTCCCCTTTTACAGACCGGTCGCTTGTGCTATTTTCATTTGGAAGATTGGGTCTATTTGAATGAATTCCAGCACAGTACCGGCATTGTCTCTGTGTTTCCAAATACGAATGGTACCCGGACAGCGTTTATCGACGATCGATCTTCGGCCTACATTTACAACCCGGTTAGTGCCAACTATTGCTCTCATTGCAGAATTCTGGTATTGTTTTTTTCGCTCCCGAGTATGAACAGCTTTCTTACGCACTCATACACCGCGCATCTATTTCGGTAGTGTTGAGCAGTTTCCTCTGCTGTCCATCTATTTCAGGTGAATGGAGAATTGATCGAATTGCCGGACTTTTCACCGTCAGCAGTGCGTATACTTTGGGACATGGAAGAACAGACAAATGTGAGTTATTTCTCCTGTTCTCTAAACGTATGAATAGGAGCCGGGGATCATATTCGATAACTCCTACGTATAAACAGTAAACCACTCCATGTGGAATCGATATGTTCATGATGCCCCATGATAGATGGGTCTGAACGCCCAGGTTCTCTCATTCAATAGGCTTCTTTTACTGGTTTACTCGTAATATCTATCCAAAATCATCCTCAGAATGAATTTCTTGCAATATGGTCATCGATCTTGGTCAAAGGGAAGAAGTTGAGAATGATTTTGAAAAATGTTTCATCCTCACGTGACCAGCGCAACACTCGCGCATTTGCTAATTCCTTTAAGGCATAACTGACCATAATGCTTATCGAGCATTTGCCTCGTATTTTTTCGTGCAGTTATGTTGGTGTTCCACCCGAGCAATTATTCATATTGATGGCAATCCAAAGTGTTTTGATCGATATATTCTCTTCGTCACTTGTGTTCGCCATTTCATTTCTCACTATGGTATTGAACAGTGCAGCTAGTACTGTAAGTATTGATGAGTGAGTGGGTGCAACGTGTAATAGAACTTGGGCAATTGCAGAAAATAGACACCAAAGATGATTTCTGGTTTTTCAATGTATGAGAAGTATACGGAAGTATTTGAAGGACGAGAATATTTATATATATATATATATATATATATATATATATATATATA